GAATATAGTACTAGAAATTTTAATGAGCAAATAATTAAAGCAATGCTCAGTAGACAAATGGTTAACACTGGAAGAGGAGCTATTAAAGTTTATCTGGTGTCAAGCAATGATTTCTCCTGTGATCGTGACAAGTATTATTTCATGTATATATAGAGCAGTGCTCAACCTTAGGTTTGCATAATTATTACCTGCAAACTCAAGTGCCAGGCATCAAACACATTTTCTCCTTAACTGACATCCTCAGGTTGTTAGGAATGGCAGTCTGTGAAAGCTGCATGGTGAGTTTAGTGTGTAAGATGTGAATCTCTAACTCTGGTTTGCCTAAATCAGTGATGGCGAACATACGACACGCGTGTCAGAGGTGACACGCGTACTCATTTTTTTGGTTGATTTTTCTTTGTTAAATGGCATTTAAATATATAAACTAAACATCAAAAATACAAGTCTTTGTTTTATTATGGTTGCAAATATCAAAAAATTTCTATATGTGACACAGCACCAGAGTTAAGTTAGGGTTTTCAAAATGCTGACACGCCGAGCTCAAAAGGTTCGCCGTCACTGCTTTAGTCAAATGAATTCTGTTCCTTGTTTAATTGTTTTTAATGAGTGCTATTTTTTTTTGATGATTAAAGCAATTTTTCAATGACTTGGTAAGTAGTTCATCATTGAGTGGATTTTAAGTAAGAATTAATTGCCAAGGAAGTGGAAGAACAAAGAGTAGTTAATACAGCTTGTAGAGATTTAAGGAAGAGTAATTTCTGACACTTAGAGTTATGTAGGTCTTCCTTGTATTCGCATAGATGTATATCTGTTTTAAAAAGTACACTGTACCCAGATTTCTGCAAAAGTCTATATGTTCTATTTTGAAATTCCAAGACATGTTGATTACTGTACCCAGATTTCTGCAAAAGTCTATATGTTCTATTTTGAAATTCCAAGACATGTTGATTTCACAGAAATTTGGGGAAATGGCTCCTAATGGGATAAATTACTATGGGAACTTAAAATAATAGATTTGTCTTTCTTTTTCTTTCTTTTTTAAAAAGCTGGACCTGTGATCTGCAGAATGCTGAGTTATCCCCCCACTCGCCGTGCTTTGATTGTGGGTTGTGGCCTACAGATGTTCCAACAGCTCTCAGGCATTAACACAGTCATGTATGTATTTCTTTCTGGATTTTCACTGAAAAGATTTTGAAGATATTATTTTATATGGAAAAAAAAGAATAGGACTCTTGGTGATTTGTTGTTATTAAATGTATAGGATTTTCCTTTTGAAAGATACTTAACTTTATACTTTTTTAATCCTATTCATTTGTAACTAGAAGTTGGTGATTTATTTTGTTTGTTGTGATTATTGGCTTTTTTGATTTCATACAATTTCTCTTTTATGCCATCCAATTCTTCCTTACATTCTGAAGTAATGAATATATTATTTTCATAAGCCATTTCTTGATGCTAGCACTGTCAAATCACGAGTTCAACTTTGGGGGCAATTACAATGCAATGGGATAAGAGCACTAATAGAAATAATGTTTATTACAGCCAGAGTACAGTGGACCGGGGATGGAGAGGGAGCAGAGAAGTGGAGCAGGTGCAGGAATTCCCTGTTTTCTAGTTTTTAGAGTCATTCCCAAAGTTATATCTGTGTTGGGGGTGAAGTGGGGTGACTAGTAGGGGGTTCTATGTTTCAGTTATTCAATGTTCAACATGCTTTTGATGGCCTATTTTGTACTAGATACAGAGCAGGGGAAAAAGTAGATATGGCCTTGGCCTCACAGAGTATATAAGCTAGTAAAGGAAACACTCATTTATAAACTCACAGTTTAATATGTACTTTCAAATTGTGACCAGGGAAGTCTGGGACTGTTCTAGTTTTCCATGGAGCAGATGTTTGAGATCCTGGGTTAGAGAAAAGTCATGGTTTCTGCTGAAAAACTCATTGTAGGGTGAAAAGTGCTGAGTCTTAGAAGCTTTTTTGCTCCTACGTGTTGTTTAAAATCATATACAAGTTGTATAAAATGAAAATTTGCCTGGTAAACCATTTAAATGTATTTGGGACTCGATATTTTTCTTTAAATTATTTGGGATAAGATGAATTTTTTGTTTTTAATATTTTGAGAAGAGTGAGTTTCTTTTCAGTGATTATTAGAAATGATGATTAGGGACCAATGATTCATTAGATTAAATCAGGTTTTGTTAAAAAACTGCATTTTGAATACATCCACATCCTTGTTGAATTTGACTTTAATCATGATCCTTATTAGACTACAATTTTAATATTTGATCCTCTCCTTTTTCTGACATTTCCTTTCATTTTTCCTCACTTTTATTAGACTTTTAGTATTTAGTATAAAATGTATTGATTAAGGTTTTCAAATGTTAATAAAGCATTCATTTCTCCAAACCCTTGATCTTTTCACAGTGAGATCAGGTGATGTGAATATAAGGATCCTGATACTCCTTAAGATTTGTGATAGTCATTAATGTTCTTTGCTTAGCACAAATGTTACATGATGCAGGTATTGTTGTCATACAGCTTTGGCTTCAGTTGAATATTTATACCAGAAATTAGGAAGAATAAAATAAGGTAAATGATGTTTAAACTTAGATTGTGTCACATGATGCAAATCTGCTACTCACTTAAATGATATGATGCCAATGATAAGTAACTGTGGTTATTAATAGTACACAATTTCAGAATTTATATCTTAAATCCATAAGACTTAGTATAAATTAATTTCATTGTAATAGTCTGCACTACTGTCATTATCTGGATGGAAAATAACTAATCTGGGACCCTCATGTACTGTGCTTTCTTCTATTTTCTCTAGAATCCTGTGTATGCTTGTGTATATGTATGTATCTTTTTCCAGTATTCTTAAGCGTCAATAAATATTATCGTAAATTTTGTTTCTTCTAATTTAAAATAATATTTTAATTGGAGCCTAATAGCTTACTTTTTGTTTTTAGTAGAAAATATTAACTATATTATTTTTATTTTTTAATGTTATGTTAATTCAGGGTTTTGTTTTTATTGATAATTCATTATGTATAATTTACTCTTTCCAACTTCTTTCTTGAATTTTAAGTGGGAAGTAAAGTAGACCGTGCTCTTCTATATTCACAGCCCAAATCTAATAATATGTAGAAGTTGAAATGTTTTTATAAAATCCATATTTCTCCCCCAAATTTGTGTGAACCTGAAACATGAGAAATTTTGAGTACTATTTGTCACCAAGAAAAGTTCATAGAAAGATAATATAGAAAAATATTGAAAGGTAAGCCATCCTTAAAATTGCCTTATATCATCTTATGTTTAATTTTCTCTCTTTCCCATAGGATCATTCTTTCTCTCTCCTTGACCTATCTCAGTTCTATCTCAGTCAAAAAAATAGGTTTTCTTCTTGAAATATGTAATTTTCTCATCTTGTACCATGAAAATATGTATGTAAATACATATTGTGTTTATGTATGTCTGTGTGTTTTATTTGTATGATTCATGTTTATATCCTAACCTATAACTTATCCTTTATCCCATTAACAGAGAACTTTCACGTTTTTAAAATCAGTACATACTATAGACAACTACATTTAACTTTTAGAAGAGGCAATTTCCTAGTATGATTTTAATCACTAATTTCAAACATGCAGTAAATAGGCTATTCTCTATTCACAGGGGATAAAGAATAGAGCAAATGGAGTACTAACTTTCCTGATGTAAAAGTGTCAATATTATTCCACTGTATCTCACAGACCAATAAAATATTTTCACATAAAAGGAGAGAGGAGTGATAGATGAAAGTGATGATTATTAATATAAAGAAAACTTTCTTAAGAAATTCTTTTTTGTGATCTATTATAATGTTAATTATTTTCCATTTTTATGTCTAAAAATTTTTATCTGATGACTACTTATAAATGGAGTCTTCCCACAGTATTACCATAACAAAAATGTGTGTGAGAGAGAGATTATGTAGGAAGGGAGAGAGAGAGAGAAAGAGGGGGAGAGAGAGAGAGAGAGAGAGAGAGAGAGAGAGAAAGAGAAAAAAAAAGCCTGGTTCTATCTGGGTTTTTTAGCATTTTTCTTCTTTTGAGGAAACTTATAATAAGCTATATCTTGATATATTCTGATAAACATATAATCAGTGCATCTTGGAACGGTGGAA